TCAGCTTTGTCCTTTCTTTAGCTGACCTCACTCAGGATTCCAGGATGATCACAGTGGTTCTAATCATCACATTCAGATATGACAAAGCACGAGGAGACAAGTCCATCTTTTGCTACATCCCTCCCAGCACTCGTACCCATCTTTACCAAATCTGTCAGGGTTCCATGTCTAAAACAAACCCGAGAGAAGGGACTCCTATTACTGCCACAGCTGAAGCTAGAAAGGAGCGCCATAGCTACAGCTAGAAAGGAGAAACTTTGTCTTAACTCCTTCAGGACAAGGGTCATAAGGAACAAAATTGGATTTCTGTCCAGAGAAGGAGGAAGTGGGAAGACGACTGAAGGCATCTGCTACACTCAGTTTAACAAGAAAAGCTAGACGTAAGTGAGGAGAGTTGCTCAAGGTCGTAAAGCTAGTGAGTACGAAATCCAGGATGCTAAACTGACAGAATGTATTTCTGTGATCACACAGTGCAGTTTCTTCAGTTTACAGCTCAGGAAGCTGAAGTCCAGAATATTTGATCACTTGCTCAGCAAAACTGAGATCTAAAGGCCAAACTCAGTACGGTTGTGCTACAATCCTGTGTTTCTCCCACTACTGCACCCTGGTGCCCTTTGTATTGGTTTATATTTAACCCATGCATAATTATGCAGGTACAAAAAAGCACCTAAAGCAGTGCCCAGCACATGGCAGGTTCTAATATTTATTTGTTGATTGAATAAATGTTTCCTAGGTTGTGTGAATCTAGATAACTCCCATTAGCTCCAACAAACTTGCTGTAATTGCAGTCCATGACTGTCCTCTTCTCTATACATATTTTCATTTCTCTTCCCATTCAGATATCATTTTGAAACTAGCTATGGCTCAGAATGATACGACTAGATATTATTGACCTGGGTGGTAGATATTACTAGCTAGGGATATTTAGATATTTCTGTATATCTAGATAGTACTAGATATGGCTTAGCCAAGGGGGAAAGGAACCTGCATGTTTTATGTGAGAAAGCACTTTATAAAGATTATGTTTAAATGACACGGGCATTAATTACATGCAAAGCAAAGTGCAAGTCCAATTAAAGGGAACATCCTCATAGTAGTTTTTCTAAGTTTTCACTGTGTCAGCCTAGAAGTTAAAAAGTGCTGTGTTAAGCTAATATTGCTCTGCACATAATATTTCAGGATAAAAATATGATAGCTATTCACTCATCAAGAAGTTGTTTCTACAAACAAGGCAGCAGCATATCACTCATTTCCCATGAATCACTGAAGCTCAATAATACTAGAAGTAGTTTGCTAAATTTTTTTGCATTTTCTATATCAAAATAAATGTATAGTATTGTCTTCATCTTTGACCAGCCTACAAAACCATTATTCTCTTGGATCTTGTCATTGTTACTGTTGTGGTGTTGTTGTCTGGATTTATATACATCTATTCCTGTTAATGTTGTTTTGCCCGTACCAATTTTTTTTACGTAACTTGTTTTTCTTCCAAAGTGTGTGTGTGTGTGTGTGTGTGTGTGTACACAACAGGGCAGAAGTCTTAGTATATGACTCAGAAATTTTTACAAAGTGAACGTAAGTGTAACCACCACCTGGGTCAATAGTTACAGGCCTCATAATCTTACCTAGTGCCCCTGCTAGGGGCACTATGGAAAGTGCTGCTGTACACACTTTTTGTATATATAGTTGGGTGCACATTTGTATGTGTATCGCTGGGTCAGTGAGGATGGGCTGCTCACAGTTTATGTGGAGATACAGCTTTGACAGATCCTGTCCAGAACTCAGCCAAATGATTGTGCTTATCTAGACTGCAACCAACTGGGCACAGAAGTTCCCATTGCTCCAATTCTCCATTGAAAGACTTATAGCCCTTTCCTTTATGGGATATTTAATAATGTGGAGCACATTTTAATATGATTATTGGTTATTTATCTATTCTTTTAGGTGAAGTGTCTATTTGTATGGAACTATTTTTCTATTTACCTGTCTATATTTTGTATAGATTTGGTAGTTAGTTCTTTATATATTCTGGTTGTGAATCCTGAATATCGTTCCTCATTCCATACTATGAGTTCACATTTTCAAAATGATGATTTTTATGCAGAAATTCTTAATTTTACCAGAGTATACTTTAACAATCTTTTCTCTTCTCAGAGCTCCTTTTTTACCATTGAAAAAATCTTAATTTATCTGAAGGCTAGAAGGATAGTTGTCAATATTTTTTTCTATAAATTTTAATTGTTTTACTTGGCACATTTTAGTTCCACAGCCTACCTGGAGTTGACTTCTGTCTTCATCTGAATTAATTATTTTGTTGACTTATAAAGACCAAACATTGTTGGGATAAAAGAAAACCTTTTGAGGGTGAAACTATTCTTTTCTCCTAAGTAGGATAAAACTACTCACTCATTTACTCATTCATTCCTTAACAAATACTTACTGAGTATGCTTAGTATGTTCATATGAAATGTGATGGATTCTGAGGAAATAGAAATAAATTTAGCTATAGTTGCTGGATTTGAAAAGCTTGCAACCTAATGGGTTGCATGAGTGAGAAGGTTAGAAAATAGAAAACACCAGGTTTTGCATTCAGTTTGTTCTGGGTTATTTATTAGTTGTGACCTTGAATAAAATATTGAGATATTTCTAAGCTTCAGCTGGGGAAAATATTGAGTGCCATGAAGATTAGACACAAAGCATGCAACATGCCTATCACTACACCTGCAACATGTAAGATGTAAATAATCCATATTTCTTATTGCTAGTCCACAAGGAAAGGATTGCAACGGCAAAGTCCCTGAAGTGTTTGCAGAGGATAAGGAAAGATTTTGCAGAGGTTAAAATATATAAAAGATATAAGAGATCACCAAACAAAGTAAGTGGTACTGGTAGGTCCAGCGTGTGTGTGTAGGTGTGTACATGAATAGGGGATGAGGGTGGGCTAAGTAGACAGGAAGAAGTCATCAATATGGAAGTAATAAGATAGACCATGCTTTTACACTACAAATTAAACATTTTATGTGTCTGGTACAATTTTTTGAGGGTACAATGGTGATAGAGTAGACATGTAGGTTGTTCTACATCTAGAAAGCTTACTGAGGGTGAAGGACACAGACATAACAAGTTGGCAATTACAAATAATATTATAGTCTACATCTTTTGGGTTAATGGCTCGTTCCATAGTCATTGCTATCATCTCTAAAATGGGCTCTTTCATTAGATGCTTAACTTAAATGGAGCCAATAAGAGTATAGCAGAAATTTGGGGGTATTTTTGAAGAATGTTCAATTCCTACACACAGCTACATTGGTGACCTGTCACAATCTTTCATATGCCTACAGAATGGAGAGATCTGGTTTGTAAAGATATATTGGAAGAAAATGGATCTGCAGAAGTTAGTAAAGTATGAGGAAGAGAGCACCCTAACTTTCAATTCTTGACTGTAGTCCTTTCTTAAGGCCCAACTTCAGTCTAGCACTTGGATCATGTAACATAACACCACATCTGTATATTATTTACATTCTCTCAAGATGATTTCCACATCTTACAAGCAAAGAGTCTTAACTAACAAATATGTGATTCATGCAGAGGTGGGGATTGTATGACTTGCCAGGGAGTCAGCTACAAAGGACACAACGTCACTGACTTTGTACTCAGGGAAGGAGTGTGGAAGAAGCTGAGATCTAAAGGATTGTTGTGTGCTGCCCAGGCGAAGACAGAGAATAAGATTGTTCCAAGGTTCCAAGAAAGGGTATTTGTGGCCTGGACCAATTGTGGCAAGTGGAGGAGTAATGACCCTAATTCTCTGTACTTTAGGACAGTGCTGGGAGGCAGGAACAGAAGGAGGAGAGAGATATCAAATTGGAGAGGTCAGTGGCTTCAAGTCATACAGGCCTAGTTTATAGGGCTGAGATTGATGTGAGTCTTCCACTCCCCCTAATTCCTAATGAAAAGCCTGCCCTAAACCCACAGGCTAGAGCTGGGGAGATAGCTCAGCAGCACAGTGCCTGCCTGGCAAGTGCAAGAGCCTGAGTTCAATTCCTGGTACCGACAACAACAACAAAAGAAACCAGATTAAACTGACAGGCTGGACCTCTTACCTACTGTCTTCCCTACTTCACAGAATGGAACCGAGTATCTGATAGGTAAATGATAACTAGTATCACACATCTCAATAGGTTGAACTCTATTTTAAGAGCTGGCATTTGGACTCATTTTCTCTCTCTCTGCCTTTGTTTCTCAGTTGTTCATTACAAAATATAGTTCTTTACTACAGAATGGTGGGTGGCCTCCACCATTAAGATAGTTAATGAACCGAGGTGTGAGTACTCCATGCAAATTCAAATGTGGTAAATTGCCTGGGACTTTGATAAAGGATTCTGTGGAACCCATGGTGACCTCTAGTATTGATTTATTCTAGTTGTTACCAAATCAGAGAGATGAGTTAAATGTAGCAGTCCAAAGCTTGGGTTCATTTGAGTAAATTATTCTCTTTGATGTTTTTTAGCCTGTTTATAAACAGTTTAAGTTACTTGGAGAAATATGTTAAGTAATTGCACAGTTACTGAACACTTTTCTTGTAATGGACAGTTTTCTCAGGTTGTTATTAGAGTACCACTTTGATTTTAGCAGTGTTGGATGTAGGACAAAGCTGACCTGCAAGGTACATTGGTGCTGCTCTCAGGCTGTGCAGCAATAGTCTCTCTGCTGCAGGACCACAGTGCCATGGAGCGGTGGCGACTCTGCATTTCTCCCTCCCCTTCTAACAAGAGGCAGCATATTACTTCATTACTTGCAGACCTCCCTCTTTATCCTGTTTAACCAGAGACAGGGTAACACTGCATCTGGTGTGCTTTCTTCTTATCTTGGAACTGTATTTGATTAAACCCAAACTCAGATGATCCATCCGTTGTTCCAGATGGCCTTATTGCTTATACCAGGTTCATATGAGTTTACCTGGAGCGGCCACTTTCTCTGCAATCAACATCTAATATCAAGCGATGGTTAGCCTGACAAGGATTTGGAGGGTGATACATTTGGTGGCAGAATCAGTGATAGGGAACAAGGAATCTGTGTACTCTTTACAGGTGCATGGGAATGTTAACAAGGACACTGTAACATCCCAAATATGTGGGGTAGGAGCCTACGGGAACCTACACACTTGAAAGTGGAGGTGGTGATCTGTGCACTTGGGAGGAAGTCCTTATCAGACTGTTCTTGTACACAAAATATCGACTTCCACCATCTTTAATATTTATCCTATGATAGGGACTGGGTTGAGCCTTTTTTCCTTAATGTCTTATTTAATTCACAGACTTGTGAACTGGACACTACCACTGACTCCGCTGAATAGAGAAGGTATTGCAGGGTGGAGGAAGACTGGGAAGCCTGCTGTATAGGGTTCCAGGCAATACACGACCACTTCTCCATGCAGTAAGCATTTGGTCTGTCTTTTGCTTTGAGCACCTTGACATTTTATCTCTTCTCTTATTTATTTATGCTAAATGGACAGTTTTTGCCTTGCAACTTTCTCAGAGTACGAATCAACCTTGCTCCCCTGTTACTTCCTAGTACTGTGTCCGTGTTGGTGCCCACTGTTCCAACAGAACGTGCTCGGGAATGAACGCCACCTCCAGCAAGCGGAGTGTCTGCGCTGTCCTCTGCGTTACTCGCGGCTGCTGCTCCTTATACTTCCCTTACTTAGTAAAACAATGTGAACGTCACCCACATTTGATTTTGGCTTGGGCTACCCAGCAGTCTACCCCGCCCCCCCAGCCCTCGCACCCGGTCATGTGAGACAGCAGACTCTCAGCCAGGCTGTTCTGAATGTCACTCTTCCTGACCCCTGTGACTTCTTCCCACACCTACCCCTGGTCGGGTTTAGTAATTCAACCCCACTGCTCCTCTGAAGGGCCCTAGTGGTGGGGGCAGTGAGAAGTGGGTGTGATGAATGGGTGAACTGTCAATCTTCCGTCCCTTCCTCTGGTTACCATTTCAACATCTTTGCTGAAATGGAATTTGAATTTCAAAAGGTTTAAAGGACATTTCTCAAGCAGCTCGAAAACCTCTTAAAACATTACCTTCAATCTGCCGCTCACTCGTGATGAGTGGATGTTGGGTACTTGTGTGAATAGTGTCATGCTGGTTACTTGTGAGCTGCCTTTCCAGTCTCTCTGGCTCACCCACAAGCGAGCATTCAAACCAGCTAGGCTCCCTTTGGTTTCTGGGAAGAACAATCTAATTTTCTGAAAGCTGATACCTACGGAGTCTCTGCTGAGGAATAATTCCCTAAATGCATGAGGTATGCTCATCTAAATAAAGAAACGGAGAGCTGGATTAGAGAGCGCAGAGCTGAAGATCAGATTTATTCCTGAAGCCCAGGGAGGGGGTCCTCTTCCTCTCTCTCTGCTCTGGGGTAGCCTGTGAGGTTGGTGTCTCAGTTGTGACCTATTTCTGGCACCATTGTCATTTTTATTTAGGGTGAACAAGGCTGCTGCAAGGGCTACTGCAGGAGTCCCATTGTCAATTCTGCATTAAGGAGCCATTAAAATGAAGTGTTACTGTAAGACGCTCTGTCTGTGAGACAGTTCTCAGAAGGGCTTTGTGCCTTTTCTGAGAGCTGCTTGCTTCTTCTTTCCATTTGCAGGCAGGGGGAAAAAGGCCTCTAACGAACTGAGCCTTTTTAATTGATTAGAAAAACAGAAGAGAACAGAGCAGTGGGAATTGTTGGCAAGGGTTTCCAGCAAGTGGCGAATCACTGCATATTCATTTGTTTCTCATTGGCCAAGATGAGTCTTCTTTTGGTATTAAAGCAAATGTGCTGTGAATTGCAGAGGACAGGGTTTAACAACTTTTCCTGGCTGGAAGCCTGAGAAATTGTATTTTTTTTTTTTTTTTTTT